AATATGTACATTGTATATATCGTTGACAATTGGTACTGCTAAGCAAAATACCTTACTCTGCGACAAACATCCGATCTTCAAAACTTAAATTAAAGATTAGAAAACATTAATGAAAAGTACTAATACAAAATCTGATCCTACAAAAACCTATTGATTTTGCATCTATTTCTGCGGAATTTAATTGTAATTCGTTGTTTGTTGTATCTTTTTCAGTAATCGAATTTTTCAATGTGCTAAGAAAACACAAAGCTCTGTGGAGTTTCCATGGTTTAACAGCTGTTTTGTGAACATGTGTATCTGTAATGCACACATTCATGAAACTTATAATATTGTATTTCCGAAAAAAGTTTACTGCGTATTATTGTTTCTCCTCACCACCCTGAGGACGCAATATAGGCGTCAGTTGATGGTTTGTTTAGTTCGGGAGTCCATCATCCGTATCAACTAATACTACAATCTACTTTCATAGCAAATAATATGAGCAAACAATATATATATATAGTATATTCAGGTATACTATGGATAGTAATAACATACGAATATAAGTCGAAATCAAGCATCCTAAACAATAACAGCAATACGTAATTGAACGAAGCAGTACAACAAGTTTATTATTTATCTTAATAATAATTTTTTTAAGGGAATTTAGGGGTTTTTGTTGAATGTTTAGGGAGAAAAATGTTTGAGATTTGGGAGCACTGCTTAATACAATATATTATCTTGTAGTTGTTTGAGATTTGGGAACATTTATACAATGTAGTGTATTATCTAAATTAAATAAAGAAACATATTAATATCTTAAGGTGTATACAATTTCGCGGTATTTGTCAGGGATAATATGATCCGAAACGCTTTAATTCGAGAGAGCGGAAAAAGTCCACATTTTTTATAACATTTGACAGTGGTGCCACTAAGGAAAGAAATAAGTTTTGAGATTTTTTAATGTATTTCTTGGATATTTTTCGGTTTCCATTTAACAGAATAATATACATAATTTATATTAGTTTTAACAAACTAGATATCCTATATGCGGTCTTAATATATGCACATGTTTATTTTGATCACAAATGATTTTCCAAATTAACTTAAAAAATAGTATAATATATCAAAACACTTACAAGTTTTAAATAACCCACACATGAACATTACTTATTTTCTATATACTCAATAAACAAGTGTCTTTTGATTATTTGTTCGAAAGTCGAAGATTACATAACATTTGCTGACAATTCTAACCAAAATATGTATATACCTTGACAATTGGTAATGCTAAACAAAACAATACTCTGCGACAAAATACCCGCTCTTTCTTAAAATCAAAACTATATAAAATCTCCTTACATAAAAATTAGAAACACACGTAAAAGTCACCAAAATATCTGATTTCACAAATAATCCACTGATGTCGCAATTCATTTATGAGGGATTCTTAATGGTAGTTCGTCTTTTGCTTGTCATCTGTTTAGTAATGAATTTTCAATCATTTTATCCATGGTTTAACAACTTGTATGTGAACATGTATCTGTAATGTAACACATTACTGAAAATTATCAAATATATTCCCGAAACGTAAATTTACTGCATATTAATTATTTATCCTCACCACCTCTAAGGATGCAATATAGGCGTGTTACTGATCTGTTTTAAATTTCCAGTTCCACAGGAGGCCTATATTCATCCGTATAACATGATATTACAATTTACTTTCATAACAAATATAAATAGAAAATATATACATATATATTGAATATAAAAGCAGGTACACTTCATGGATAGTAATAA